TATTAAGTTAAAGTATTAACTTTATAGAAAAAAAATACTTTGTCTATTTATTTGTACCAGTTTACTTTTATGACTTATTTAAATATAAAAGCACACTAATAGGTGCAGGGCACACTAATAGGGACAGTTACCCTATATAATATTAGAAATATTTCCTCAAAATTTTAAGTTGATCCGTTGTATTTTCATGGAGATACATGACCTTGAGAATATATCCGTTGAAGCAAAACGATAAATTAAGAATTTTAGTGCATCTGCAAAAAACTTAAAAATATATATTGTCGACAACAATTGACGTTTTAGAAGCAACAACTTTAATAGAGAGTGTATTGGCCTTGGAATAGATAATTCTTGTGTAAATTGAAATTTAGTATAACTGCATTTGAAACTTTAAACGCGTTTTTTTTAAAACTAGGTTTTCAAAATCCGCGGTGACGATATCTCAAAAACCTGCATCACTTAATCAGAAATTTTCCATGCTTCTTTTAGATACGAAAATTTATAGTCTTTAATCGAAGGATTTTTTTTCCAATGCGTATTTTTTTTTAATGGACGAAAAATAATATCTTTTTTTTAAATGAAAATCGAACTTAAACTTTGAACAGCCGACATTTTGTCGCAATTTAATTTTTCGGCATATCGATCGATTATTAAAGTCGAGATAAATTAATTCATATTATAATAACTAAATTTTTTAGATTTTTTATTTCTGCTAACATAGTTCCGAACAGTAGTGGTCACCGCAAAACGCGTTTTCGAAAATGGTTTCCTGGACATTGACTACAACTTATTTATTTATTTATAATTTTGTATTAAAAAAAAATGAAAACTTTGTCAAAAGTAGGCTCTTTCGAACATAAAAACTTTGATATAAAAATATGCATATACTTTTTCGAAAAAAATTTACAATTTGTATTTTTTCGGCTTCCTAACTAGATACATCCCCTTAATAAAAATATAATTATTTATTGTAACATAAGAAAATATTTTGAATTATACAGTATCTGCGATATTAAAAGTACAGTTTTTTTTTATAAATTCATTTTGAGTACGCGAAAATGATTATTTTTATTTTTACATATCTGAAGGGTTTTTGTTTGTTTAGACGTTCTCAATTAATAAAATTTTGATAATATTTATTTATTTTTACCTTAAAAGTATATATATACCTATATATATAATAATAATGTTATATAATATTTCAATTAAAATTTACTATCAAAATGAAATTTCCATAATGAAAACAGAAAACATTTACTGCACTTACCTTTTTATTGCCTCTACAACTGCTAATAAGTTATCTTCACAGACATTAGAAATGACAAGTGAATGACGCATTAAAATTATTTCGACAAATTTGTCGAAAGTATCGTACCTTAATTCTGTGCTAGCAATATTGGGCAGTCGATTTTTTTATTGTAAATTTTAAGAAGATAAATGACGGGATTAGTTATCCTTTCCTCTCCAAAAAAAAACTTGATTAACGTATATTATGTGTATGTAAGGACATCAGTATCCTGATTCTGTAAAACGACAATTTGGTATAATAATCGAGAATATTATATTGCACAGTTTTTTTACCGTATAGAATATCTGTGCAACGACAATATGCAATGAAAATATACTGATACTGTTATTAAGGTTTATAAAATCGGGATACTGTATCCAGTAATTTGTTTCGTTACAAATAGAATCTCCCTCTCTTATAAACACAGGCACGACTTTTATAAACTGGGACAGTAGTTTATAGAAGTTTTGCCAGTGCCTTTATTTACGAGTTGTAGACCGATAGTTATTATATTTTGTGCAAATATAAAAAGATTTGGACCTTTTGTTTTACATGGTTTTTATAATGTTGATTTTACAATATAATAATTTGAATATATAAAAGTTTAATATTTGAAACAAAGGACCATGCACTAATCTTATGGAAAAGTGGCCCCCGTAAAAATAGAAATAATCTGTGCGAAAGTATACTTTATGAGGTACTGATTAAAAGTCTCAATGGCGGCCACCTTCTATCACCGCTAGTTTTTACACTGTTAGCTTATAAAGACTGCTTGAAACTACTTTATTTTAGAAAATCATAAAATTAAGTAGCTTTCTTGCTCTCTCTCTCTCTCTCTGTCACATTTGAAGATGCCTATTTTGCTACATATCCCAATAAGTACAAGTCCCCTATATAATATGTAAAATAAAAGTAATACGGAGGACTTCGCAATTGAGACTCCGGCCAACAATAATTATATTTTGTATATGTATGTATTCTCTAAATTTTCTGGCGTGAATCTCACTCCAAAAGATTAAAAATACTGCCATACGGTTACTTGAGTGGCAGTATTTTCACTCTTGAAGTGAAAAAGTCACTCCAGAAAATTTAGAAAGTATGTATAATATATGCACAAAAAATGTTTATCGTGCTTGTTGAGCGTGCGAAAAGTGAGTCTTTTTCGCACTAGTGGTAAGCTACGATGCATTTGTGGCAATAAAATATCTTTCGTAAATCGTGCAAAGCATCTTTTTCGACTCGTGTGATAATAACACACTCATCGATAAAGTCATGCTTTTCGCACTTATATCGAAATATACTTATGACTTCATAGACGTCTGCAGTATTATTTAATGCATGCAATTAATTGTAATTACATTACTCACTCTCAGCGCTACTCAAGATCAACCAACGTGGAGATGGTGAGTGTATGATCTCTTTTTTATTTTTTATACTATACTATATGTATATATATATATTTTTTTTATACTTATAAACATAAAGAACAAAAAGTAAAAGTACAAAAAAACAAAAAAGTATAAAAATAGTAAAAATGTAAAAAAGAGATCATACACTCATCACCTCCGCGTTGGTTGATCTTGGATAGCGCTGAGAATGAGTAACGATATTTTATTGTAACAAATGCATGATCGTGGCTTGCCACTATAGTGCGAAAAAGACTCACATTTGCACGTTCCACAAGCACGATAAACAATTAAGATTGTTTTGTGCATGTATTATACATAAATACATATACAAAAATATAATTATTGTTGGCCGGAGTTTCAATTGCGAAGTCCTCCGTATTACTTTTATATTACATATAAAATAGGGGACTTCTACTTATTAGGATATGTACCAAATATAGGCACCTTCAATGAAAGAGAGAGAGAGGAAGCGTACTTTTATGATTTTCTAAAATAAAGTGGTTTTAAGCAGTCTTTACAAGCTGACAGTGTAAAAACTAGCGGTGGTAGAAGATTGACGCCATTGAGACTTTTGATCAGTACTACCTCGTAAAGTATACTTTTGTACAGGTTATTTCTATTTTGACGGGGGCCACTTTTTCATAAGATTAGTGCGTGATCCTTTTTCGGTGTTTTATATTTTTATTATTTTTTCACTGATATCTCAATAAATAATGTATACAGATTTTTCTTTATAGATTTTATATACTTTTTTACATTAATTTTAATATATAAGAAAATTAATAACAAAAAATATTTATTTTATTATTGGTCAAATGATAGGAAGATGTACTACTGTGCTTTATTAACAAACTGATAGCAATTGATAGTATTATACCCATCTAGCCCTGAAGTAATGCTCTCCAGCGGGGCCACTCTCATCGTGGGATGGGGACGGTTATTCTTCCGTGGTGGGTTTTAGCAAGTAGGCGATGGGAGCAGGCGACCGGCCTGCAGTGACCCGTTGAATTCTGCACACCCCTGTCTCAGGCGCAGGGGGTCTTTAGAAGATTTCCCACTTCGATACCAAAAAAAAGTAGTATACCCATTATTATAATGGCTATATGTATAATATTTTATTTGATATCTTTGCATTTATTTTTATTAAAATAAATAAACAAGGAATTTAATAATTAATCCAGATCAATTTCATAAGTTATTAATTAAGAGGATGCTATAGTCGTCTGTTTTACCGACAAAAATACCATTTTTGTTGGTTACTAATTACTTCGTGTTAATCGTATAGAATAAAATTTCCTTTTCCACGATTAAAACACACATGCTAATGTATCTGGCTCTGGTGCATCTCGTATCAAAAACGGGAAAAAATGAAATAATTACAGATTTCGTTATCCATTTTAACCTCAACATGGCAACTAATGCTGTCAAATTACCAAAACGTTTATTACGTGAAAAAGTTAGGCAGGTCATATGCTCAAAATAAAGGCAGGGCCAGGTGTACAATAAAAAAATGAATATATATATGAGTCATTAGAATTAAGTATAGAAGCCTAAATAAAAATATATTAGTAACCGACAGATTTGTGTATATGTATGCGTGAGATATATTGATGGGGTAGTAAACATGATACATCACTACACACTACTACGTCAATATTGCACGCATACATATACTCACAAATCGTCGGTAAAACAGCGAATTTTTGGAGTTTGATCTTGGGCTTAGGATGTCCTTAAGGATCCTAAAGTCGTCTGTTTTATCGATCGAACGCGATTATTTTCCAAAACAGAATAAACATAATTAAAGGCAACATATTAAACAATCCTTCTCCACGATTAAAGTATAGACATCAATGTAGTTCCGGCTGGTAGAGGTTATGCTGAGAACGCAAAAAATTTATGAAATTTAAATCTCCGTTACCTTTTCT